CCCGGGGAACCCCAGTGTCAGGGGGACATTGTACCCACCACCTCCCGGGGACCCCCAGCATCAGAGAAACATTGCACCCACCACCTTCCTTAGGACCCCCCTTTATCAGGGGGACATTGCACCCACCACTTTCCAGAGACCACCTATGTTAGGGGGGATGCATTGCATCCACCACCTCCTGGTGACCCCCAGCATTGGGGAAACACTGCACCCACCACTTCGTGAGGAGCTCCAGTGTTGGGGAGACACTGCACCCACCACCTCCTGGGGACGCCCACTTCCAGGGGGGACATTGTAACGGCTCCGACTGCAGGATTTATGGAAAATAATCCCCTGGCTCTAAATGAGCACAGCGATACTTCAAGGAGATGACGGGCTCGTTAATTGTTTAACAAATGGAAACTAGCTGGGACTGCTTCAGTGCTAATTGCTAAGGGGAAAGCGTGGCTCTCCCGGGATGACAACGCGCAAGCGGTGATTAAGCAGCCAGGAAAAAACTGACTGGTTCTTAGAGCCAATACTGTTAAATTTGACTTTTTTTTTCTTTAATTAAGGGTATTTAAGACTTCCCTCAAAGCATACGTCAGAGTGCTCAGGAGCATCTCTCTCGTGCCCTCCTGTTCCTTTGCACAGATGAGGTTTTTCTCCCTTTCAACCAGGCTTCAAGTGTTCATTTGACATGATGCAAGTGCCCAGGGCTCCTACTCCCTTTCAGGAGGAACCTCCTTCTGGCAGCAACCAAGAAAAGCAAAGCAGAAGCTGAAATGCCATCCCAGAAGCACCTCTCACACCTACACCACGCCAACAGAAGAGCCAGCAATAACTCCAGATTAAAACACTTATTTAACCCCTCTTCTGCATCCAAACCTTAACCACGTCCCCAACCTCCACCACACACTGAATTAAGCTCCGTGGCCATTTGGGAAAATCAAAAGAAGGGTGGTGAAACCCTGGTCCAGGTTGCCCAGAGAGGTGGTGGATGCCCCATGGCTGGAAACATCCCAGGTCAGGTTGGAGAGAGCTCTGAGCAACCTGATCTAGTTGAAGATGTCCCTACCCATGGCAGGGGGGTGGACGAGATGGCCTTTAAAGGTCCCTTCCAACCCAAACTATTCCATGATTCTATGAAATCTAAGATCATAAAAACAATTAAGCAGCGAGGGTGGTCTGCCTGCAGCTTCGTGTTTCTCTGCAGGGTTCCCAGGTACCATGGTCCCAGCTGGGCTCCAACCCAAGATCCACAGGGATGACAGTAGCCAACCAAAGCCACGCAGTCTCCACCAGCAAACACATGTGACAGTGCCAGAAAGAGGACACTCCAGCATTACCTCCCCTTCCCACAACTGGAAGCATCCACTTCCAAAGAGCAAGCCCCCATCCCTGCAGGTGTTTAAGGTCAGGTTGGACGGGGCTTTGAGCAACCTGGTCTACTGGGAGGTGTCCCTGCCCAGGGATCTTTAAGGTCCCTTCCAACCCAAACCATTCTATGCTTCTAAGCCTGGTTTCATCTCGGGGCTCAAGCTCCAACCCTGTCCTGGGAGAGGCTTCCCCCTTCCAAGGTGGGGAGGTCTCCCTTCTCCTTGCCACCACGTGCAGAAGGCTGGACCTCTCCACAAAGCAGCTGAACCTGCAGGAATTGATCCTGAAGGGTCCCAGGGACAGGCAGGATCATGGGGCTGGCAGGAGCATCCCTTTCCTCTCTGCCACCAGGACAGGAGTTATGATGTTGGCTCATTAATTCCTCTCCACCACCAAGAGTTACGATGTTGGCTCAGCTGCTGATGAAGTTTTGAGCCTCCCACCTTCCAAGAAAACCATGGAGCAACGGGCGAGACAGGGCCCTGGCCAGCAAAACACAGGGTTTACGAGGCCAAAAAAAATAAGCAGGAAGAAAGAAAATATTTTAGCTCAACTCCCTGTGTGCCAGCCTGAGGACCATCGCACCGAGCGTGCATCCAGAAGCTCTCCATCTTCCAGCAGTTCTTGGGGAGGACACATGGAAACTCTCCCGGGAGCAGGGATGCGAACCAGGCAGCAAGATCTTCATGCTTCCCCAGCCTTCAAACCACGAGATCTCCCTCCAAAAAAGTGGTAAAGTTGGGGCCAGGGAAAGGACCGGGCTGTGGTGTAGGACACGGAGCAGACCCTGGGCTTGAATCCTACACCACCAGCTCCTTCAGCCAGTGAGAAGAAGCAAATATCACACGTTTGAATCCCACCAGGGTTCAGTTCAGCCCCCTCATGGGGTTAACATCAAGGAAAACACCTCTTGGACACCATACAACAAAATTAATTCCTTCACTAAACTCTTGCTATTCCCATATTCTGCCTGTTTTGCATTTCCCTCTTTTTTTTCTCCTGAAACTCTTCAGTGGAGCCACGGATCTTTGAAAATTAATTTTTCCTGATCCCCTAAATTCAGCCACAATCCCTGGGCAGCCCCGGGTCGCAAATAGCATTTTTAGGCAATAGCATTTTTAGGATGCCAGGCAGAAGTTGCCGCCGTGCCCTGAGGGGAGGGAGCCTTCCCCTGATCCCATCAAAATGCAACAACAAGGGAGGGAGGATTAAAGAACAGAAAAGCTGGAGGAGAAAGATAACTGCAGGAAGATCAAAGCCAGCTGGGGGGAACCCAGGAAATGCTAAAAGGTTTCAAGGTGTTTTATTGATTGGCCTTTGTTTTGGTTTTTTTTGGTTTGTTTTTTTTTTTTCACCCTTAATTTCTACATTAGCTAATACACCAAGCATGGAAAAAAAAACCCAAAAAACAAAAAAAACAACCCAAAACAAACCAAACCCAAGTTTATTCTTGGCCCTACTCATACCTTTCCACGCAGCCCCAGCCAAACCACTGAATTTTCTTTGCCTTTCCTGTAAAACCGGCTGCAAACGCTATTTCATAAACGCCGGGCAACAGCTACGGGGCATGGTCCAAAGATGCCCAACCCCATGGCATCCAAGATGCTCGGAAACCCAACAGAAACCCCAGTGTTCAGGAAGGTGCCAGCGACTCCTGCGACCGCAGTGTGGGACGTGCAATTTATAGGAAACCCTAATTTCCACGATTAACCCATTTTGGGATTAACCGGAGAGAGATCTACACGCTGAACGGAGTTATTTCTCTATAAATATAATATTTTAAGGTATATATACATGCACGAGGCCCCAGATCAGCCCAGCTTGGGATCTGTGACCACGTGGAGCTTTTCCTGCGGGGGTCAGCAAAATCTGTACGGCAAAAAAAAATTAAATATGAGCGTACAGAAAGCCCCCCCCCACCGTGATTTCCTAGGTTTTTATGGAAGTTGCTTCCAAACGTAGCTCAGCCCCGGGGTTTTTTTTGCTCGCTGGCCCTTGGCACTGCCAGGACACATTCCCAGGGTGTCACAAAACAGCACATGGGCAGGCGCCGCCGGTTTAACCGCCTGCTGGCCGAGGAGCAGAGGGTTGGATGTGTCACATCCAGCCAGCTCGGACGTGAAGATCCGCACGTCCAGCTGGCACCGGGGCTGGGGATGCACGGATTGTCCCCTCCCCGGGCTCAGCCCACCACCCCAGGGACCTGGGAGCACTTCCCCAGCAGCTCAGCTAAGGAAACGTGGCATATGGAGGCATTGCATGGACCCTCAGGAGCTCCAGGAACATCACACCTACCACCACGGCTCAGCACAGGAGCCTTGGTATCATGGTCCAAAGATGCCCAACCCCATGGCATCCAAGATGCTCGGAAACCCAACAGAAACCCCAGTGTTCAGGAAGGTGCCAGCGACTCCTGCGACCGCAGTGTGGGACGTGCAATTTATAGGAAACCCTAATTTCCACGATTAACCCATTTTGGGATTAACCGGAGAGAGATCTACACGCTGAACGGAGTTATTTCTCTATAAATATAATATTTTAAGGTATATATACATGCACGAGGCCCCAGATCAGCCCAGCACCCACCACTTTCCAGAGACCACCTATGTTAGGGGGGATGCATTGCATCCACCACCTCCCAGGGACCCCCAGCATTGGGGAAACACTGCACCCACCACTTCATGAGGAGCTCCAGTGTTGGGGAGACATTGCACCCACCACCTTACAGAGACCACCCATGTTGGGGGGGCATTACCTCCTGGGGATGCCCACTTCCAGGGGAACATTGCACCCACAACTTTCCAGAGACCATCCATGTTGGGGGTGGCATTGCACCCACCACCTCCTGAGGTTCTAGGGGGGAATTGTACCCACCACCTTCCAGAGACCTCCCATGTTGGGGTGGCATTATACCCACCACCTCTTGAGGACCCCTGGGCATTGCACCCACCACCTTCCAGAGACCATCCACGTTGGGGGGGGCATTGCACCCACTACTTCCCGAGGAGCTCCAATGTTGGGGAGACACTGCACCCATCACCTCCTGAGGTTCCAGGGGGCATTACACCCACAACCTTCCAGAGACCACCTGTGTTGGGAGGGTACTGTTCCAGAGACCTCCCATGTTGGGGTGGCATTGCACCCACCACCTCTTGAGGACCCCTGGTTCCAGGGGGGGCATTGCACCCACTACCTTCCAGAGACCAACCATGTTAGGGGGCATTGCACCCACCACTTCCCAAGGAGCTCCAGTGTTGGCAAGCCATTGCACCCACCACCTCCTGAGGTTCCAGGGGGGTATTACACCCACCACTTCCCGAGGAGCTCCAATGTTGGGGAGACACTGCACCCATCATCTCCTGAGGTTCCAGGGGGGCACTGCACCCACCACCTCCTGGGGATGCCTAGGTCCAGGGGGCCATGGCACCCACCATCTCCTGAGGACCCCAGTGTGAGGTGGACATTGCACCCACCACCTCCCAGAGACCTCCCATGTTAGGAGGCCACTTCACCCACCACCTCCCGAGGATCCCCCCGTGATCCAGGGTGACCATCGCACCCACCACCCCCTCCGGTGGAACCCCACCGTCGGGGAGACCTTACCCCCCCCGAAACTCCTCCTTCCCCCCCAAAAATCTCACCGCAGCTCTCCGTCCAGGGCCTGGATGACGGCGGCGAAGCTGCGGCTGGTCTGGTTGAGGTAGCGGTAGCAGGTCCGGAGGCCCCGTCCCAGCGAGTCCTGCGGGCACAGCGAGGGGCGGGGGGGCGGCTGAAGGCGGGGGGCGGCCGGTGGCGGAACCGGGGGAGCGGCGGCGACAGCGCAACCCCCCCGCTGCTGCTGCTGCACCCTCCG